AGTGTCCAGCAATACATTATGACATCTACAAAGAGCACGCAATAAAAAAGCGCATAATGTAAAGCAAATTAACTTCATGTTAATTGTTTGCGAGTGACCTCATCGATGGTCTGTACTGTCCAATACCCACCGTTTTGCCGCAGGAAATGCACCATTTCCAGCGCAATTGGCTGCTGGCTGTGACGCTCTTGACCGTACGTCGTCCGTGCAACGCTAAAAAACGCCCAACCAGGTTAGACGTGGGCGGAATGACGTTAGCAAATTGTACATTGGTCGAACCGCTGCCAGCCGGCGTCTCTTTTGTAGATGCTCTACAAAAGAACATCCTTCGTCGCTGACGGCTGCATCCCCAGCAGCATTGAGTGCGCTTTCATCCGCGCAGCGGAAGGGCGAAGAAGACGGCGCTGCCGCCCTTGTCAGCTGGTGGCTGCCACCGACGACGCGTACGTTTCCCGATTCGAAGTCGGGACTGTGCCCGGGGTCCTATATGACACCAAGAAAAATGCTAATGAAATGCACGTTGACTCACAATATTATACAATAAAAATAGAGCTTACCGAGATATGTGGCGTACTGCGGTTTTACGGCAATGAGACCGTCGAACCACACCCGAACACTTAGCGATGTGACGCTTGAGCCTTGTAGTACTTTGGAAACTGATTCCACCTTTTTCAGCCCCTTGAGCAGCGACAGCAGGTGCTTGTTACACGACGGCGCTGGAAGGACGTCCACGAGCGCATCATCTGTCGGGTCGAGGTTCTCGAGGAGGTGGACATAGCGATGAAGCATTCAAAACGTTGAGCTCCAGCGTGTGTTCTGTTCAATCACAGGACGAAGTGGCATCATCAACGTACATTTATAGCCATACCAAATTTATAAACTGCGGAGTTAGTACACTACTTAACAAATATATACCATCATAGAATAGCAATTGCCTTGGCTTAGCAGCCTGCTTTAAGTTCCGTAGTCGCACCATTAGGGCTTAAATTCCTGCAAGTCCTCTTCATGATGTTTCATATCCACTTGGACGGTCCTATTTAGCCGGTGGCTAGTACACCCAATAAGCGGGACGCCCATGAGCGTTGCTAGCAGTCTATTGACGGCGCAGGTGTCCCCAACAAGAAATCCACCAGCTGCTTACCAAAGTAGCGGGGCACCATGCTAACTAGGAGCTCATAGTGCCCGCGCGCCGAGAGGTCCACATCCGGCTCGCTTAGGAGCGGCGCCATACAGAGGAGCGGGGTCTTTATGACGCCGTCGACCTCGTAGCAGGCAAAGACAGCAACGAAGCGTTCAGACGCGTAGCTCCAGCCATCCAGAATTAGATCAAATTGCTGAGACATCTCGACAGCGATGTGACGCTTCTCAATCCGAGTGAGACTTTCCATGGCCCGCTGAAGTGGCTCGACACAAATCTGGTCCAAATTTGTAATGGGCCCCTCCATTACATAAGTAGGTAGATTTCTTTACATAAGTAGGTGCACCAGCACACGACTAGCGTGTGTTGAAATGCTGCCATGCCATTGGCTGATATATGGAGAGCCAGAACCATTATTAGCCAATTGGACTATGACGTGTATTTGAGTGGCCAGGGCTGTGGCCTTGGTCCTAAAATAAAGTCAGAGTTGATTTTTCCTTAAACCTAAGACTCAGTCGTCCTATTGCGAGCTTCCTCAACACCTTAGTGTAAGCAAGTAACGTAGTAAATACCTGGCCCGTTTCAAAATTTGTGTATCTAAGTAGCACAAAAATTACTTTGACTAAATTTAGATAGTATTACACAAAGTAAAACAAATGGCTTACCTTCTTGCAGCAGGATTATCGTAAAAGTTAAGCAGGATGCGGTTCTTGACAATCCAGTCGAGCCAGTCAAAAACGTTGAGTGATGAATGACGGACGTAGCTTAGAAGCGAGCCAGACTCAGCGGTAGGTGCAGACATCATAACGGCCTCGTAGCCCGGGTGCTCCCGACGGACGTGCTTCATGAGGTTAGAGTAGCCGTTTCACCGGGTCTGCTCTCGATCCGTACTGCAGCGACAGCGGAAGTTCTCAGAGACGACCTCGTCATTAGCGTTACGGCTGGGTCGGGAGCACAACCCGGTATCCTGGGCTGGTGTGAAGGTGACGTGGCGGGCGCGCGGGGCAAGAACGATGGTAGTTTAGCGAAGAGGCAAGTGGTTTTTGTTACTAATTGAAAAGTGCGGAAGCCGGCAAGCTGTGCTGTGTAGCTGGTTTTTAGAGTTGTTGGTATCAGCGTAGTTTAAGTGTGTGTGAGGTCATGGTTGGCTGTGAGAGGTACAAAATGATAAAGAGGTTTGCATCACAAATTGTGACAGATAACTCTTTAGTCAAATAAATTATCAATAACATACAGGTAACCAAATATAAATATATATTTATGATCTCATAAGACATAATTGAAAAGTCCATGCCATCCCTGCATCACAGACAAAATATCTGCCCAAATTGTCGACGGAGTTACAGGAAACATCATCACTGGCACAAAAATCAAGCATCACAACTGACCCAAAAACAAAAGACATGACCGGCGAATACAAGGACAAACCCGAGGAGAAGGACGTGTACCTAAAGCAAACTCCAATACAAGGTATTACCGCTATTGTGGATAGAAAATCTAGCCTTTACTAATTATACTACAACTGTATACGCTTTTGTAGGCACTACGGAATCTCGGAACCTCGACCGACTACATCAGCAGCTTAACCCTTTCGTGCGCCTCCTTCATAATCTGCTGAAAATGAGTTTCGTGAGCACCGGTATTAATAGTAACTGCTAGTAATTGCTGGACACAAATATCGTATGGTGAGCAGCCCACTATATAAATGGACATGTCGATCGATGTTATATTCCTTGCCAGTTTTGTGAGCAGCTAGCGGCGTTGTGACCATCGGCTTCACCACATAACTGCATTTGTATGACTTATTGAATAGATTCAGGCACTGCAGTGTTTTGATGAATGCTAATCTCGTGGAGTCGCCAGGCGCATTACATGTTCAGCTGGTTAGCGATCGTAGGCTTTGAAGCCAATCGTATCGCTACCAGCCATAATAAAGCATGATTCGACCAGGAGGAAGTACCAACGTCGCTGTTGGAGATAGCGTCGCGATAGCAGTGCAAGGTGTTCCAAGACATACCATGGACGTCCAGCATGACGTAGCGCTGAACATGGAGAAGACATCGGAGGCTGCGGCGGCACCATCCAGGATCCTATTTCTCGACGGCGTCCGAGGACTCGCAGCGCTTTTGGTCGTGACTCAACATTCGCACGAGTACATGCAGGATTTCAACCTGGGAGCCTGCGCCGTCGACGCATTCTTCGTACTGTCATCGTTTTTACTAACGATGTTGTTCATGAAGAAGAGTATGAAGCTTCTGGCACACGGTGCCACATATCGGAAGTGGACCTTCACGCTTGCCGACTATTTTTCCAAGCGATTCTTTCGTATTTACCCGTTGTTCGCGTTGGTGGCCACTGTGCTGTGGATGCTTCCCCATGATGTTAAGCGTGGACTATTCCGCGTTGAGAAACCGGAGAGCTTCGATCTTTACAGAGTGCTCACGTTCGACTTTGATCAGCGTTTCTTCGTGTTCTGGACACTGCCATTAGCGATTTGCTATTATCTCTTCATCCCTGTATTCGTGCTAGCGGTGCTAAAACTACGGAGCTATTGGTGGATTCCGTTTAGCTCGGCCTACTGTTGGGTCATGTACGAGGGCTGGTACACATTTCGCTGGAGTCACATGGGATTAGCGCCTCACTTTCCAACGTTTCTCGCTGGCTCACTGGCTGCGGTCATTTTCGTTAAACTGGACATGTGGATGAAGATGAACAGCGTGCAGCTTCGGCCTCCTCTTATCTACGCGATTCGTACCTTCGAATGTACTGCAATAGCGCTGTTGCTGAGTCTGAGCTTTCGAGGACTCTTTTTCTACTGGATTCACGCCAACATTGCACCCCAGACGGCAGGCTTCCCATTCATCAGCGTCCTTTTGACCGTGATATTCGTGATTGATATACTTCTGCCATCCTCTCTGTCTGTATTTTTTGAAAACAATGCTCTTCGACACTGCGGTAATGAGCTTCTCGATCTATCTGCTTCACGGATTTGTCATCTACACTGATGCAATAAGTGAGCAGCCCAGCTACTACGACCGAATATTCTCTACCTTTGGCCTCACGGTGCTAGTTGCGACAGTTTCTTACAGCTTGGTGGAATATCCATCCCAACTACTAGCGCAACATGTTACTCGAGAACTTGCCAGACGAGAGGTACTGGGACTCTGACATCGATCGTCTGTAAGCATTTTTTTACATTTTTTTGCATGATTAGTGGATTAGCAATGTAAGAGATACTCGTATGTAGCACATGTACTATTGGACGCCTTCCAAAAATGGAGAAATCACCCGGCATAACTGCAGCAGGTATGTCGGGGCTTAACGACCTCTATGCCAACATATCTATTTCTTGGCTCACCAAAAATATAGTAAGAGAGGTTGCTCTGGTCGATGTAGAGTGTTCCCTACGTGCGATTGCACTTGAGTTAGTTATTCATTTTACGTTCTGGGGCTTTTAAAACGGAACAAAAACTCAACAAATCTTTTTGGATTCCGCTTGAGGTTCGCCACTTTCCCTTTTTGGAAGCCATCGTGGGCAAGATGCGCGAGGAAGACGAAGACAGTGACGTTCTACTGCTATTGTGTGATGAGTACTTGAGGCGCGAGGCAAACCTGGGCAGTGTCCGCCGTGAAATACACGAGGCCTTGATGGAGAGCACATGGCGAGCTGCAATGCGCACTCGTCATTACTTGACGGTGGGCTGTTTGGATGCGCCCTGTGTTGCCGCGTGGATGGCTCTCTACAGGAACGGCGTGGACTCAAACTTTCTGAATGCTACTAGTCTGACCAGGTACGTTACGGATGTCGGTGTGTATCGGGGGGGGGAGATCTAATTATATACCGTCACGTACTACACAGAGCTGCATTCAAGCACTTACTGCGCCGGTTTGCGCGCTACTACTACATCCCTCCAGCCAGAAGCAGAGGACGGGCCGCCAAAATTGCGCTACCATCATCAGGCTCTAGGTCTCGTTCTCTGCTTCTACGTCGGGTCGATGGAAAACGGAACGCTGAGCATGTTGTTTGGGGTGCCTCCGAGCACTTTATCTCGGGCGCTGCGCAAAGCCGAAGAGGCGCTGTCGTGTGCACTTCGGGATTTCTCTCCAGCGCGGATTTCATGGCCGTCACCTTCTCGCCAGAGAGAGCTTGCCAGCTTGGTGAACGCACGCGAGCCTTGTAAGAGGCATACATTCGGGTTTATCGATGGAAAGAACTTCCGTGTAAGTACGACGTTGGATGAAATCGCAATATCTCAAGACACGTAGCGTGACAATGGTACTAGTAAGAAATGCAGGTGATCAGGACGCTCATCGTAATAACATAACGTTAATTACAACGGCTCCCTCCCTCAACGGTATCACGCCCAGCATGTGTGTGAC